GGACGATAACTACTCTCTCTCTCTCTCTCTCTCTCTCTCTCTCTCTCACACACACACACACACACACCCATACAAGGGAAAAAACTCATCATTGGTCTGTGCCTAATAGGAGAGGCTCATTGCTTTGGGAATCTCTCTGTCAATGTATTTAAATTTGGAGAGGTTTCTGGTAGTTTCAGTTTCTTTATAGTATTTCCATCAATCAAAGAAACCACATCAAGAACCAAAACATCAACAACTAAACAATCAGTCGTCACGCACATGGATGTGACATCTCACATTATGCATAATAATACATAATGCCTGGATACATCGAATACTGAAAGAGAAAGTGGTCTGCTGACCTTGAATTTTGCTCGCCAAGAACAACGGTAGGCTTCCACCACCATGGCCGATGCATAGGATCTGCATGGTTTTCTTCCCGTGAACAGCACTCTTTAAATCATAGCGGCTACAGGCTAGGGATGCCAGCCCAACTGAAACCATACTCTTCACATCTGTCAGGAAGAAAATTTTGGATTAAGAGCACCACAATTTAAGGTATCAAAAATAGAAGGTTGGTAGTTGACATCCAGATAATTTAGTACCTCTATTTTGTTGAGGCCATAAAGAATGAAGTGAAAATTTGATATCCATTACATTACCTCTATTGAATCTTTTTGCTTATCTGAAACAATATAAGCATCCCGGTCTAAACTATTATGCAACAATAACAATGGCACAACAGGAATTAGACACAGCAACAACACAAAAATGCAACATGGCACTTCAAATATGAAGAATTTTTACACTATAAAATAAAAAGTCATATCTATGAATTAAAGAATTAGAGAAGATGGAAAGAAAATACCAGCCATGTAATTTGGGATACTTATTAGCATAGAGATTAATAAAAGAGAGATTCTTTTAGAGATTAATAAGAGAGATTTTCCAGAAAAATACATAAACAAAGGAGAGACTGGTCTAGAAATAAAGATACAAAGAATACCCAACAAATGGAATCATGATGGTAGGTTTTTTGTATCCATTTGAACAAGTGGATCATCAACATATGAGCTATCCTGTTTCCGGTGAAACCCTATGCAGTCGAAGAAACTCTTAAAAGTGGACCCCTAAATAGGCAGTATTATTTTGGGTTATAAGCAGCATTTGCGCATTAGGAAAAGATAAAAATAGGCAATAAGATGAGAACAAGTAGACTTAAGTGGGCAAGCCGTGCAGCGCAGACCCAGGACAATACCTGTTAGGAGGTGCTAGTTAGTTCAAGTGGAAGGCTTAAAAGGGCAAGGGGTAGGTTGGAAGTAGTAAGAAAAGATATAAGGATTTATGACCTCATTGGGGGTATGGCTCTTGATAGAGTAGAATAGCATACTAGGATTCGTGTAACCGACCCCAAATAGTTTGGAAAAAAAGGCTCCGATGATGATGATGAAAAGATAAAAATACATTTTACATCAGTTATATAGCTCATAAAAGAGACAAAACCAAGGAATAGGGTTAAATTACCCCGTATAACTCTAGTGACTAGGATCTCGCAAGAAGGTGGTCGCTCCAGCTCTGGAGGCTCGATCTTGGGCTCTGGGACAAGGGGATCTCAATTCCATAAGTTTTTTGAAATTAGGCATCTCAAACTGCAAAATTTGGGATCTAGTCCCTAGTTAATTCAATCCAGATCACCCTCATCCAAAATAAACATGGGTCCATGAGTCGATGGAATCGAGCCTCCACTAAAGTGGAATCGAGTTTCTTTTATACTATTGATACTGAAGATCATTGGCACATTTCAAGTCTCATGCACTAACCACCCCTACCCCCCTTTTCCCTCACCCATCTCTCTCTAACTACATAGTGACAATCTCTCTCTCAATGCAAGAGCATATTTCTCTAGAAATTCTGAAATCTGAATTAGCTTTTGGTATAGAGATTTACCAGTTGAGAAACAGTCCCAATGCCTGCAACAACAACCAAGTTTTGAAGCTTGAAGTATTTACTTACACTTGTTAAGTCAGAAAATTAAATACAATTACATACAAGCTGCTTCCATATTACGTGATGCTTCCATATTACATTATGGAACCCGTAAATGATGGCGAGCAGCTAAAGTTGCAGCATGTCCTATCCTGAATCCTTTTCATTTCACTTACTGGAAACTCTATAAGCTTTATACAATTGATCTTGTCTGCAATGCCCTCTCATTGACAATATCCAGCATTACAGAGACCTTTGCAGGTTGACCCTTTCTTTGCTTGTGGACCCTCTTTCTTCCTATGAATCTAGAGAGTGTCATTGTCTGCTATTTGCATGCGCAATCACATGTAAGTGAAGGGACCCAAACAAGGGAAACAAGGACATCACATTTCTATCAGACAGTAGAGCTTCATTCATGCTTGATGACTGAAATTTGAATCCTCATTTTAGGTTTTCAGTTTCACTTCTCACTTATGAAACACACTCCAATGATAACCAAAAAATTACAATATATCAAAAATAGGATTCTTTGTATTTGATGATTCTTTGGTTTTAAATTAAGAAAAAATACTAATCATAAATTGTCAATGGACGTTGTTCCCAAGCTAGAGTACCCGATATGGTGAGCCTCGATTTTAAGCTGGATGGACCTGAATCCCATATAATTTTATATCATTTGATCCTGGACAAATTTGGATCGTGCACCCTTCATATTGGGATCACGATCCCATTAACTCATGGTGTTCATATCTCGATCCCTATCCCACGGATCTTCATGCATCTCTCAATCCGCAGTCCCAATCCCGATCTGGGATCTAACTCGCTCCCAATCCTGGTAACTATGGCTCGAGCATACCCTCTTTAGCCTCGCAGTCGGTGAATATTTTTGCAATTTTGGATATCAATAGATGGGGCAGAAACAAACTTCAAGAAAGCCACCAACCTTTCTTAGGCTTTCAATGTCCAACAGGACCTTGTAAGTCATTCTCAACTTTTGTCATTGCTTACAGGACCGCTCACTTCCAAGGGATTAGGAATTCCAAGTGAGCACCCATCAAAGTTTAACTTCAGAATCCTGACAAGTTCATATAATAGCCCCTTCTGTTACCAAATAGGCATCTTGTACAGACATACTATCACACCCTCATATCACCAAGATGCGTTCTTCAAATCCAAAGTAGAAGACAACAACAAAACATATGTTTTCTCATATAACAATAAACTAGGATTGCAATCATAAGAGGAATGTATTCAATAAAATAAATATAAAAAGAGTATGCCTTCATCCTGAACATAAAAATTATTTCCATTCAATAGGTTTAAAAATATGATCAATAGAAACTCAAAGAAAGCAAATGAAACTCCAAGCACAACTCCCAATATAGATAGAAGCCTCAAATGTTTTCTTATTATCAGGATCTGATTCGAACTACAAGCTGGATCAACTCACTCAATTCAAAGTACAAACTGCATCAAATGTAAATAAAAATACTTCCAACATCATAATACCAAAATACAGCTAATTAGAGCCAAGCCCATATAATTCTTCCCCCACTTAAATATGACAAATGATTATGCAAGTGGTAATATATCATCTAAACTGGTGTTTACAGATTTAGACAACTCAGTCAATAAGGGGGCTCCCCGGAAGAGGGTGGGCCCCTTTGCCACCCTCTCTTTAAAATAAAAAGATTTTAAAATTTTTTCAAGTTCAATTCCTGTCACTGAAAACTCCCCCCCCCCCCCCCCCCCCCCCCCACCCCCCTCCCGGACAAACAAAAAAAGAAGTCAATAATAAAAAATTCAAAAATAAAAAATTCAGTCAATAATAGACAAAAGAAAATCATGAATCACTTCAACATTTTTTTTTTTTTGAGAATTAAATCACTATATTTGATAGAAATACAAGTTTTAAGTATAGCACAGAAGATTACATGGAACGGCCAAACAATGAGGTTGCTGCATTATGTACAAAGACTCTGGATTCGATTTCCTGTAAGCAGCCATAACTTTTACTGTGCTTTGTCGAGTTGTATCATTAAATCGAAGTATACGCCATTGATAACCCAATATCCTAAATTGCTCATAGCAATCGCCACAACTTCCGTGGACCTTTTCATACCTTTGCTGAAGCCATCTCTCCATTGCTGGCCAGTGGATTGCAGCCTGCAAGTTTTGCGAAGAGGATGATAGTTGTCTACTGAATGAATTAGCTTACATAGGTACAAATATTGGGTTCCCTCAAAAAAAAAAAAATAGAAATCCAATACACAATATGCATAAAACTCTAATGTTCCCCCACAAACCGAGGTGCAGGTATATGCAAGAAGAGCTTGGAAGACAAGACCAGATTCAATCTCTCAAACGAGATAGTAAATATCTTTATGATATTTGTGCATATGAAGACACAGAAGACGATCCAGTTTCCTTGGCAAGGACTTTTTCATGAGAAAAATGATAGTCTAACTCTGTGTGCTTAAAGCATGAAAAAAACGATCAGCTGTCAATGACATCGCAATCTTGTTATCAAAAGAAAATAAAAGAGGAGCAGAAGTAGTAAATCACAAAAGAAAACACAGTAATGTAAGTTCAGCTGCTGTCATTGACATGGCTGTACACTCAGCCTCAGCCATACAGCACCAACAGTCTTCCATTTCATGCTATTCCAAGATACTAAGGACCAAAATACACATAGAACCGTGAGCCTGCCCAATTGACAACTGTGCATACAAATACATGATGAGACCAATGTTAAGGTAAAACAACCCATATGAAATGGTGCCCTTTAAATACCGAAAAATGCACTCAACAGCTTCAAAATGTGACTAAGCAAAATTGGCAAACCTAGTTTATTGAGAAAGCCAAGTCTAGATGCATAAAGGTAAGATACTGCAAGCCTCCTACCACTTGGTGATAGAAGGAGGGGTCATCGAAGACAAGTTTAGTTTCACACTGAAATTTCTGACCCATAGCAAATGGAATGGACATGGGCTTGCAGTCAAGCATGGAAAAATGAAGAAGGTGATCAATAGCATACTTGTGTTGGGAAACAAGGAACGCCTTCAAACAAGGAGAAATCCCCAGACTGAGGAAGTAATAATACAACAAATTTCAATAAGATCATCACCTGTGATATCTTATCATCAACATGAAGGACAGCACGTGTGATACCTGTAGAAGTGTGTCCTACAAAGAGTGAGAAGTCGGCTAAACTCCAATAGTATCCTTGACTCATAAATGTAGAACCATGCTGAAATGTACGCACCAAGCTCGTGGAGCTTGCTTGAGCCCATAGAGAGCCTTGTGCCAATGACAAACATGATGAGGAAAATCAAGATGTTGAAAGCCATCTAGTTGTGTCATATATACGTCTTTCATATTCCAATGGTGAAAGGCATTAGTGATACCAATTTGATATAAAAGCCACTCACAGATAGAAGCAATAGCAATAATAAGTTGAATAATGGATGCCTTAGCAATATGGCTGAAAGTTTCATCACAGTCAGGGCCATAGGCTAGGTCATGTCCTTTAGCAGCTAATTAAGCATGTAGTGATCAATACCACCATCAGGTTTGAATATTGTTTTGTGAGTGGAACGACAACCAACAACATTTTAACTTTCAGGGGGAGGAGCTAAAGGCCATATGTGGTCACGCAGAAGTGCATCATATTCTTTCTTCATGGCAGTACTCCAAGCAATCTGAAAAGAGGATGCATCTGAAATTTTGATAGACTCTAAAGAGACACCTGGTGAATGGAAGGAAGATGCTAATGGGAAATGTAGCACTCCATTCGATTGTGTCATGGTGCATAAGAGGTATCTTGATTTTCCACAGAAAAAATCTTATAGTCCACAAGAAAATAATATCTTAAATTCAATTATTTCCTTTATTTACAAAAAGAGATGTTCAACTCTTATCTTTAACACATCAAGGTTCGAATCAGAAATTGATAATGGTAACCTCACGTTAACAAGGCTAAATCCTATTAATTATTCAGGGAAACTAGGCAATAATAATTCAGGAAAATAACATAGCAAAACCGCAAAAATTAGACCAAAAAGAGTTAAAAAGGAGACAAGAAAATGCAAAATCCATATAAAAAAAAAAAACTTCAATTCCAGAACTTAGAAAGAAGAAATTATAATCATCAATTACCCCATGCTAAAATGATAAGAAAAAGAATAGGACTTTGCATTCTTCAAATGCATGCTTAAATTAAAGATTCAAAAGTCATATTCATCACTTCAAACAAATCTAGGCGTAAGCTATCAAAAGGACTAACCGGTCTTGAAGATGGATAAGCAGCGACCGTAACGATTCCATTGCCCTTGTATGAAGTTGATTGAAAAACAGTTTGACCACCCATGGTTGGCCACCATTCAGACGAGTAGAACCAGTCACCTTCATCCTTCAGATCATTAACCAGAGAAGAGGAGGAATAAGAACAAAAGCGCAGAGGAGGAACAAAAGGAGAGAAGAGTCGGATTCTCCGCCAAACTGAACTCAAACTCATTTCTCCACAGCATAAAAATACCGATTAGAAGCCCTAAAATCCCTGCATATATGTTTTGAAAATGGATAGTGATCTCTAGAGTTTGTGCAGAGCTTTGAAGTGCCTAGAGAGAGAGGGGGGCCAGGCCTTTGGATAGAAGTGTAGAGAGAGAGAGAGAGAGAGAGAGAGGAGGGGTGATTGACGATATTGGGACACAGGATGATGGCTGGGGAAAGCGCTGGAGAGCGAGAGAAAGTGCAGAGGCACCATGGTTGGTCGAAAGACAATATGCTCCCTCGGGACCATAACTTGCTCTCACCCGCATCTCGCCATTCGCGAGGCCTGTCGGCGCGACTGAGTGCTTTGGTTTTCCGGCAAGTTTAGTTGCAGTGAAAATATTTCCCGAGACTTATTTTATTTTTAACAAATGTTATCAGATCTTACTGATGATAAGAGTTACCTTATATGCTTTTTATCTATTCAGTTATCAGGAAAATTTTACATACAATCAACCTAAAATTGTAAGTAGCATGCGCATTGCAAACAACAATATATAATCCCATTTAATAGAACAATAATTCATGACATGATGTTAGTAAGCACAACCTAAATAATTTTGTCATCAAGAAGTTTTCAATATTCCATTAAAGAAAAACATACAATGAGACTGTTTATCTTTGGTACAAGATGGTCATAATTAATTTTAACTATTAAATGTGAAATTGTGTGGTTACATTTATCTCATCACCAAGCTCAAAGTTCAAAAGAAATTTTCTCAAACTTTATGACACATCTAAGCTATGAGATTTTTCATATAACTAATTGTGACCTCATTGTACCGAAGGCCAATGGTCTCATTGCATACAATCCCTTCCATTAGTATATCTCACCAAACAATAATTAATGAGATAGACATTAATTTTATAAAGAAGAAGTTTATATAAGGTTGCAACCTTAAAATGTAAAATTACATATGCACCTCAAAAATATTAATGAACTTAAACCACTTTCCACCAATCCTACCTTATCAACAACAAATTATTCATCTAATCCTTATCACAAATGAGTTGACAATATCTATTTATTAGTTGCATACATATCTTGTAAATCACAAGATTATTGACTATATCAATTTGTAATAAGGATTAGACGAATATTTTTATGTTGATAAGGTATGTTTGGTGGAAAGTGGTTTAAGTTCGTTAATACGCCCTTCAAGAAGACTGTCTGTGTAGAGGGATGGACGGTCAGCTTGTCTCGAAGCATGTGAAACCTGGCATAGTGTAGTCAATTAGTGAATAAGTCTGCCACTTGGTCATGGGTGGAGACATAGCGAACATCAAGATCTTTATGAAGCATATTTTTCATGAACAAAGTGATAGTCGACCTCCACATGCTTAGTACGGGCATGAAAGACTGGATTAACAGCTAAAGATATTGCACTAATGTTTTCACAACAAATGATTGGTGGAGAAGGTAAAACAATGTGCAAGTCTTTGAGAAGCATGTGAATCCAGTACAACTAAGCAGCGATGTGAGGCAAAGATCTATATTCCGATTTTGTATTGGACCTAGCAAGACTGGGCTACTTCTTCGCACTCCATGAGACTAGGTTGCTACCAAAGTACACGCAATAGCCACTTGTCGACTGGTGATCATCCAGACTGTCAGCCTAGTCCGCATCAGAATAAGCAACAAGGTTTAGTTGGCTTGGCTGAAAGTAAAGACCATAATCAATCTTACCTTTAAGATATCAATGAATGTATTTGACAACAACCCAATCTGTCATGGTAGGGTTGTGCATAAACCGACATATTATCGTTAAATTTAGACGTGCACCAACAATATTGCGATACTCAGTACTATCAGGTAGTGGATCACTTGTTTCCTTAGATAATTTGCTACCAGCGATAGCAGCAGTCATGTAAGGTTTGGCCCCACTTATTTTGGATCGTGCATATAAGTTCGCAATATATTTAGATTAACACAAAGAGAGTCCTTTAGATGAATGATGTGCCTTAATGCCCAAAAAACAATGTAAGGGCCCAAGGTCATTCATAGTGAAGAGACCCTCAAGATCGTGGATCAAGATATATTTAAGTGGATGTCATTATTGTCAGTAATAAAAATGTCGTCGACATAAATTAGAACAATGGTGATAGTGCCATCGATCACGCAAACAAATAAAGAGGAATCAGCATTGGATCCCACAAACCCGAGACCAATAAGATACTGTGTGAACCTCTCAAACCAGGCTCAATGAGCTTGTTTGAGACCATACACTGCCTTTTTAAAGCGACAAACATGAGTAGGAAATCTAGGATCAATAAACCCTTGTGGTTGCTGCATATATATTTCATCAGAGAGAACCCCATGCATTTTGGACATCCAGTTGTCGAATTGGCCAATTATAATTGGCAGCAAACAAAAGAACTACTATAATGGTGGCAGGTTTGACGACTGGGATGAATGTCTCAGAGTAATCTATACCAGGTTGCTGATGAAAACCCTTAGCTACGAGGCGACCTTTATACCTTTCAACAGTATCAACTGCTTTGTGTTTGATTTTATATATCCATCGACATCCAACCACATTTTGGTTAAGATTAGGAGGTACAAGTTCCCACGTTCAATTTTTAATGAGTGCATCAAATTCACTAGGCATAGCCGCCCTCTATTCTGGTAACTTTGATGCTTGAGTGTAGCAGGTGGGCTCACTACAGTAGTAGATATAGCATGGGTAATTGGCATAGGGTATAGTGTAGTTAGAAGCAAGCGTTTGCGACATTAGAGCATCTTTTCTTCTGGTTATCATTGGGTGAGTGGATGATACATTAGTGGTGTTTGGAGGTACAAGGGGTTGGGTGGATGAGGGAAGGGATATATTAGAGGTAGTGGAGTTAGAGGGGTCATGTGGGGTGGAAGCAATGGGTTGTAAAGAGGGGAAATGAAGTGTTGTAGGAAGGTTATTAGAAGTAGAATTAGTGGGGGGAGAATGTGGGGTATTAGGGGGACTAGGTGTAGATGGAGGGGTTGTAGGGACAAGAGAGGAAGCATGGATAGGTGATGGGGAAGATCCATGAGGCACAAGAAATGGGCCAATAACCACAGATGAGGTGAGACTAGTATGTGAGTGTGTGTGTGTGTGTATGAGGACTAATGGAATTCAATGGTGCACTTAGTGCAAAGGGAACCGCGACTCATCAAATACTACATGTCGAGAGAAAATGTATCATGTGCTTGGATCAAGACATTGATAACCTTGATTGTTTAAGATATATCTGACAAAAACACATGGAATCGACCAAAAGGCCAATTTGTGTGTGTTATATGGTTGGGTACAGAGAAAACAAGTACAACCAAGTGAGCGCAGAATTCTATAATCGGGTTGTTGCCGGAATAATTTTTCATATGGAGAAATATTGGCAATTACTTTTGTGGGAAGACGATTAATTAGAAAAACGACGGTACATAACGTTCCACCCAATATTGTATTGGCATATTATCATAGGCTAACAAAGAGAACCATATTTCTACCGCATGACAATGTTTACATTCTGCAGTGCCATTTTGTTCCGACATGTACGAGCATGATAGGTGATGAGAGATGCCATTAGTAGATAAAAGTTGTTTGAAGTGGGAGTTTGTAAATTTGCCCCCTCCATCGGATTGTAGGCTCTTAATTTTAGTTGCAAATATATTTTCCACCAAACTTTTAAACGGAACATACACATCAAAGGCATGGGATTTGAGGACCAAAGAATAAAACCAATTATATCGACTATAATCGTCAATAAAAATAATATAATAGTGATATTCACTTATTGACATAACTGAAGAGGAACCCCATATATCTGTGTGAATAAGCTGTAGTGGTTGAGAGGCAATCGAGTTATGTTGTCATCTTGTCTTAATTTTGGTTTGCTTATGCCACATATCTATATGCACATCTAAATTGGTATCAGAGCCTGATTATGCTGTTGAGATTATTTAAGTACACTGTTGGCTGGGTTAATCTATAGTCCGTATTTGGATTAGTATGTTTTGTGTCTGCGTAGATGGTCTACGATCTCTCGCATCAGAAAATAGAATATGAGTTAAAGGTTAATTTATTGAAGTGAAGTTGTTATTCCACTATCAATATTTTCTGAGGTTTATTTGACATGAACTCTGAAATCGGCAGGACGCCTGGAGTGGAGTTCATACTTTATAAACCAGAAAAGGAAAGTTGGCCTTTAACCTATCTGTATCTTTTTACTGTCAACGTTGTACAATTATTTTCAAAAATGGCATATGATAGTATTTCTGATACTTCTATAGATTTTCCTTCTTCTTCTACTTCCCTTGATTTAGGACCTATGTTTTCAAAACAAGAACACCTTTTTGAAATAACATATACCCCTAAAAAAAATTTTAAAACCCGCTCTCAATTAATCAATCCTTATCATGTTTATGATAAATCAAGTTTGAATTGGACTAAATGAATCAAGAAACTTTGTGGGAAAAATAATCCAGAAGGCATAAAAGAATATGTTCAGGCCTCTTCTTTTGACCAACACCACATACTTGCTACCCAAGCTGAACAGTATGTTACCATTACCCTTCCCAGAAACTTTTTTCCTCAATGGCTTAAAGAATGATATACCCATATCCATTTTGGAGCCATTAAACTAGTCCTCACCTTTCATGGTCGAAAAGGAATGGAAGAAGTAACCAGAATAGCTTTGTTAAATACCAGGTTTTTAGAATATCAGCATGCTTGCATCGGTACAATCCAAACTACTTTGAATGCTGGTACCATCTTTGTTACATTCTTTCCTAATTTTAATATCCCTATTAAAGACCCACATCTTAGCTTTGCATTTAAAGTTCAACTTCAGATCACAAGAACCAGACAAATTGAAACTTCTTCTGGAGCCACACTCCATTATCAAATGGTGTATAGGCTTCAGAATCATGCTTTCGATATTGTCACATCCTTAACCCCTGAATGTGAAAACACTACCTTATTCATTAAAGTTGATAATACTCCCAACCTGTTTGCCACTATATCCCGAGACAGATATCAAGGGAAAGATTGCTTGAATTAATTCCATCCACTTGGGTTACAAATTATGAAAACCTACAAACCCAATGTTAGTCTGCGATACAGTTTGAATAAAAAATGACAAGGATGTCAGATGGAACAGTTCAAATTAATTTTCAGTTTTCAAAGGACAATGATTCTCAATCTCAAACTAGAGAAATATTCCCTATACAGTTTCAAGGTCTTCTTGAAAAAGTACCAGTGATTGCTTTTGATAAAAATGGGAATCTTATTTATGAACAAAAGACCTCTGACGGTCACAATTGGTTTGATTGTTGTAACTGTTCTACACGTCTC